GTAGAGCAGCAGCACTTTCTTCTGTATCTGTAACTGTGACACGTCCAGTATTTGGTGGAGCCCCGAAAGTCTGTTACATATATCATTTGTATCATCATGCATCCAGTTTTCTTAATGACGGCTCCCCTTCTGTCAGATACACCAGTGTGTTAAGTTCCTGCCCCATTTACTTTTTATTTTTTAATTTATTTTTAAGGTAACATACCTGGTCTTGCAGCATCTCTGGGAAACTTTGGATGACGGACTGACACGTTTTGCCTTTAAATGCATTGAGAGGGAAATGAGTTAGAAATTCAGCAGTGTGGTGATAAATTCTGTAGCATTTCATCTCAATACACTCACTCAGTTTTTACAAAGACTCTGACATTCACCAATATTTTCATGTTTGGGATTTGTTCCTCAGTACAAAGAGAACTGCAGGCTCAAGAGCACAAAAGTGCAAACTATTCAGAATTTTAAGAGATCAGAAGAGCAAATTTAAGTGAAAACCTAGAATGACATTTGTGAATGAGGCCAATTATTATTATTGTTATTATTATTATTATTATTATTATTATTATTATTATTATTATTATTGTGACTGTTTATTACAGGGAAAAATATAAACTGAACTGTAACTGTCATTACTGTAGAGAAAAGAGTGTAAAATCCTCCACTCACCACTGCAGTGGTCACTGTTTCTCCTTTTACAGATTATAAAGGTTTCGGCAGAGATCACAACCACACACACTCCCAAAGCTGCTCCCAGGATCATAACAGGATCCACAGGCCCCTCTGAAACAATCAGACATGTAAATATATCATTTTTATTGCTGTTGAATAAAGTTCAAGCCAAAAGAAAATACTATTTGGAATAGTTGTATTTTATTCAGGTGTTAAGAAATTAGAAATACTGTAGATTTAGACTTTTGAAGCACTTCAAATATTTTCCTCTTTCCTTAGCCAGTCATTTTTTTTTTTAATTGCACTACTGACCATCACCTTACACGCCCTGAAAAAACAACAACTTTTCACTCATTTGTTAAAAAATCTAGTTTTTACTTTTATATACATGAAGACGTTGATATAATGATTCTCACAGTATTTTCAGCTCTGTACTTCCAAATCTAACCTAATCTAATTTTATTTAAGCACTCATACTTTCACATGAGTACAGTTTCTCTGCTCTTGTTCTGCTCCTAAAAGCTATATTAGCAAATGGTTTGTAAAATATGAATGAAGGAATAATCTGCTCACAGCCTTACTGTAATGTATGAGTGAGACTCGGATAACATACAGTACAAAAATGCATAAACCAAATTGGTAAAACACTCTGTCTCGACAGTTGCTAGTAAAAACTATATCACATTATAATAAATATAAATAAATATGAAAACAGTGAATATAAGTAAATATTTAAAGTTTTCAAATAGGTATTTGATTTCTTGTGAGCTGGTTAGAAGAACATAGCCTATCATATAGATTTGTACAAATTTGCTGTTACTGATTTAATTTGATGAAACGCTGATTAGACCAATACAGACACAGGATGATGATTACAAAAGATATTGGGATACTTCCAGTAGAGGCTTCCAGGAGAGGTTTGGAAATGTAAACATTTGGCAGAAAATCAATACATATTTTATTATTATTATTTGTGTTTATTCTACTATTACTGCTTTTCTGAGCAAATAAACACTTCCTAGGTAACTAGATTTAAACATATGTATTCCTAAAACTTTTGCAAAGTACAGAATGCAAAAGGGCTAAATCCTTTTAAAAGACGGCTTACACAATATAATTGACTCAGTCAGTAAAGTAAAAGGATATGATCAGTTTTAATATCTACATCCATCACACAAGTTGTCAATGACCAATGACTTTAAAATTCTTAAATATTGCTTACTCAGTTGTACTAATGCTCCATTGCTAAAAAGGATCTTCCCACAAGCAGCCACAGCACAGTAGTAAGTTCCAGCATCAGAGTCACTGAGGTTGTTCTTGGAGAAGTTGTGCACACATTTGTGTGTAGAAGAGCTGATCTCACACTGACAGCTTCTGCTGTTCTCATGAGTGTAAATCATTTCAGGAAAGGATTGTCCTGCAGCAGCTCTGAACCACAGCACTCGGAGTTCAGCTGCTCCGGTCTTAGAGTGGACCGTGCACTGCAGAGTGACCGTCTCTCCCGGAGAAATTGACTTCCATACTGGAGTTTGAAGCACTGTTACATTTAACTGAGGTTGACCTGGTCAAGAAAATAAAGACATTGCAAGATCTTAGTGCATATTGATTTTTTTCAGACAGGCATATGATTTATACAATAATGAAGTGTAAAATCATAATGTCATTACCTGTCACGGCTAAGAATGTGCCATTAGAAAATGTAATGGTTTTTTCTGTAATGTCTACTTTTCCACAGAAGTACATTCCTTCATCATCTTTAGTAGTTTGTACAATAGTCAGAGAAAAATGCTGGTTTATGTTGAATCTGACTGATGTAGTAGTTGCTTTTATTTTGTTGGGTAATTTCACTGCAACTTCCTGAGGTTCCTGTCCTGCTCTTTGTTTGTACCAAACCAAGTTAGTTTGAGAAAACCTTTCCACAAATTTGCAGTGTAGAGTAACAGTTTCACCAGGCTCAGCTGAGCCAAAAGATGCCTCAGAAAGCTCCACAGCTTGAGCAGAATCTATAAGATACAATAGATACAATCAGATCAGAGCTAAGCTGATAAAGGCAATAGCTAATAACATTTTAACAAGCACAGTTAAAAGTAAATCCAAGAATTAAGAGTTATTGATAACATAAGAGCTCATAAGAAGCTCATGAACTTACGTGTTATGTAGAGACATAAGATGAGAATCCATATCAGAGCCATCACCATAAAAGAATCAGATCTTCACTGAAGTAAATTTGAGAGGTTGCAACTGACAAAAGCATCAGGTTAGCTTGCTGGGCATGTGAGTGTAACCTCATTGGCTGGAAAAAGTCACAGTTTTTTTTTTTTTTTCTGACTGCTTCACTGACTCATGTTCGGCCCTCAGAAGTCTTTTGGTCTTCTTCCATGTCTATTTAAGTCTTACGATAAATTGTTTTGATTCCATAAACAAGAAATAAACCCATCTGTTCTATTACACCTTAATACAGCAGGTTTTTTCAAAAGTTTATTCTATAAAAGCAGCAAAAACTCTAAAGACCCAGCAATAATATCAATAATAATAAAGAATGTGCTTGTAAGCCCAGCAAACAACATAGCAGACTGAAAGAAACTTTCAAAAACAGAAGCTAGATCTGATGCAATCATCAACTTATCCGTGACCAAATAGTAATAATTTGATTTCAGTCTTATTGGTGCAGTTGGTCATTAGTTCATGCTTATGAAAAGGGGAAGAATGTACAACCAATGTAGTAGACCTTGAGACCAGTTTTGAGAACACAATTACGTTATCTCAGTCTTAGTCTTTGTCTCAACATTTTGTCTTAATATGTTTTCTCAGTCTGAGAGTGAGGCCTGTCACAGTCACACCTTGTATATCTATGGTGTTGTAAGGTCTGTAACACGTGACATTAAAAGGCTGACCTGGTGAAGAAGAGAAAAACAGTGAGCAATGGACAGGTCAGAGCTTTTCTAAGACATTTAAGCAAACCAGCCACAAAACACTTACATACACTATCAACTGTACTTCTACATTTATGTTTACATTTATATTTACAACATTTAGCAGACGTTTTCTGTCTGTTTTTGAAGACCGCTAGGGAGTCTGCTGTTCGGACAGCCAATGGGAGTTTGTCCCACTACTTGGGCGCCAGGACAGAAAAAAAAAATGATGCTTGGCCATGCATATTGAAGGATGGCAGGTCAAGCCAAGCTGCACTTGAAGCTTGAAGGGCTCGGGGTACAGTTTGAGATTTGACCATTGCCATAAGGTAGGGAGGGGCTTGTCTGTTTTTAGCTTTGTAGGCAAGCATGAAGGTTTAAAATCTGATTTGTGCAGCTACAGGAAGCCAGTGAAGGGAGTGCGGCAGTGGAGTGATGTGAGTGAACTTAAAGACAAGCTGTGCTGTTGCATTCTGGATGAGTGGCAGGGGTGTGGTGGCCTGCATAAGAAGACCAGCCAGGATCGAGTTGCAGTAGTCAAGTCTTGAGATGACATTAGACAAAACTACCACCTGGGTGGCCTCTTGAGTGAGAAAGGGTCTAATCCTCCGGATGTTGTACAGGAGAAACTTGCATGACTGAGTCAGGTTCGCAGTATGAGCTGAAAATGATAACTGGCCCTCCAGAATCACACCAAGACTTCTTGCATCTTCAGATGGAACAATCAGTCAGTTCTTGAATAAGATGGCAAGATCATGGTGAGGATCTGTAGTTCCCAGGGATGAATAGCAGCTCAGTCTTGCTAGGACTGAGTTTGAAATGATGAGCTGCCCTCCATGAAGAGATGTCAGTCAGACATGCTGAGATGCAACTGGAAACCTGAATATCAGAAGGTGGGAAGGAAAGCATTAGTTGTGTGTCATTAACATAGCAATGGTAGGAGAGACAATGAGAGGATAATACATCACCAAGAGCACAAGGGTGAAGTGAAAAGAGAGGAAGACCCAGCCTCGAGCCTTGTGGGATGCCAGTGGAGAGCCTGCATGGAGAGGATGTGGACCCTCACCATGTTACCTGATGAGAGCACCCCTCCAGATAGGACTTCAAGCCACATCGAGCCAATGATTCCAAGGTTGGTGAGAACAGCCAGTCTTGAGTAGTTCTATGCTAATTACACATGTACACCCATTTACAATAAAGCTGTGCCCTGTTCACACACACCAACAATAAAGCTGTGCCCTGTTCACACACACCAAAAAGAAAGCGATCCTCTGCTCTGGATCTACTGCTGTCCTTCAGTTGCTCAGGTCAGAAGCATTTCATGTTTCAGTATGCTGATAAATAAACAAGCATATAACATCACTTTTGAGCTGAGCCTGGAAGAACTGACTTGCCCACACAAATACCCACCACTGTCAGTGGTTCTCAGAAATTCTTCAACTGCTGAGGTGGAAGGACCTTCTCCAGACTACTGCCAGGTCCTTTACTGAGGCAGGAGGTGAAGATCAGCACATCCCTCAATATTACTGATACACCACAGCACAGAAACTACTCAAGGCACAGTTAGAAGGACACATGTCCTGAAGACAAAGGCCTCCAATTCCATTTATCACATTGCTCAAGAATTTCTTTAGGACAATGACACCAACTTCATTGGAGAAGAGACCGAAACTTCATTTGCTTCAGTGTCTCCTTGTTAGCAGTTAGCAGCAAATATCTTCCTGATTAAATTTCAGTTAGTAAAAAAATGTTTTTTTTTTTATTAATTCCACACAGTGTGCCACATTTTGGTGGAATGGGAGAGAAAGAGATTAGGTCTGGGATGGAATTCCTCAAGGTAGTGCAAGGGTTCAAATAAAACCTCAAAATGCTTAAGGTTGTCTCATTCATTTGTACCATGACTATTAGATTTTAAATGGCAAAAGTGAGCAGATTTTCTGTCATAGCTTTGTAACTTTACCTGCATCAAGACATAAAAGGTTAGAATTACATTCTCCTCCAATTTTAGAGAAACTTGAAGCCGTTCATAATTTCCTCTTCCTAATTATTAATGATCAGGGCCGCTGGAGCCTCACCTGCTTTGTGGAAGACAACCAGAAATTATTTGGTTCACACTGTGTTTTTGATGGTCCTCTATATATCATCTACAGATGTTGAGGTTTAGAGACATCTACAGTCGTAATGTTGGAACTGCAGGACTACAGCTGTTAGCTAATCTATTTGTTGTGTGTGTTTAAGGAATTACCCAAAAGTCGTCTTTTCAGCAGGGCAGCACTGAAGGTATTCCAAATGCTATCAAATTATTTGCATAATTCTTTTCTTGGAAATAAATGGTTCCTTTCATTATTTCATTTATAAAACCTATAGAACCATTGTAAATATATATATATATATATATATATATATATATATATATATATATATATATATATTATGGCAAGCCAAACAGGAAATATTTAATGAACATTGATATGGAATAAACGTTGATATATATGGAATGAACTTTGATATAAATTGAAAAATGCTCTTTTATTGAGAGCAAGGGAAAACAGTGCCATTTGAAAAGCAACTCAAAATTGAGGTAGGTCACTCCTAGCCCCACTCTTTCTTCTGATGGTCACCAAACACAAGCACACTCTCCCTAACTCTGAGCTGGACACAACATAACACAGTAAACACAAACACACTCTCCCTAACTCTGAGCTGGACACAAAATAACAGAGTAACCACATACACACACTGTAACTGAAGAACTACAACATAGCAACATTAAATAACAATGTAAACAGTCTGTTAGGGGGGTGGGGTGCAAGGCTACAACACACACAACCCCAAAAGTCCCTCTCTGTCTAAACAAAACATTTTATGAATTATATTATTCATTTTTTTCATCTCAGTGTTCGATCCATGTACATCAATGTTCATTCAATATATATAAATTTTCATTCCATATATATCAATGTTCATTCTATATATATCAAAGTTCATTCCATATATATCAATGTTCATTCCATATATATCAAAGTTAATTCCATATATATCAAAGTTCATTCAATATATATCAATGTTCGTTCCACATATATCAATCTATGTTCTACTGAGATATATGGAATGAACATTTATATATATGGAATGAACTTTGATATATATGGAATTAACTTTGATATATATGGAATGAAAATTTATATATATTGAATGAACATTGATGTACATGGATCGAACACTGAGATGAAAAAAATGAATAATATAATTCATAAAATGTTTTGTTTAGACAGAGAGGGACTTTTGGGTTTGTGTGTGTTGTAGCCTTTCACTAAAAAAAAAGAAGACTGTTTACATTCTTATTTAATGTTGCTATGTTGTTGTTCTTCAGTTACAGTGTGTGTTGGTGTTTACTCTGTTATTTTGTGTCTAGCTCAGAGTTAGGGAGAGTGTGTTTGTGTTTGGTGACCATCAGAGGGAAGTGTAGGGCTAGGAGTGACCTACCTCAATTTTCAGTTGCTTTTCAAGTGGCACTGTTTTCCCTTGCTCTCAATAAAAGAGCATTTTTCAAACAGAGGTTATGGCCTCATCTGACTCTTCTTCTGCACCATGTCAAATTATGTATATATTGAAAATCCACCCATCTGTTTCTTCACATCATATATCTGCCACTCTCAGGTCACTCTGTCCACAGGATCACTGTGTATAGATACTGGTCACTTTATCAGAATTCCCTTCCTTTAAGCTCCACCTGGAGTTTGTTAATGCCCATTTATTGATGTACAGTTTTTCTTGGCCATCCTCAACCCTTCAACAGCAACTTTCATTCAAAATATATCTATGTTCAATCCATATATATATATATATATATATATATATATATATATATATGAACACTTTTCACAAGATTATTAGTAAATCATTACTATGATAAAATAAAAAAAAACAAAACATTAAGAAAGAAACCTTATTAAAGAAACTTTTATTAAAGCAGACAGTTAATATGTTGCCTCAATCTAATAGTAAATGAAAATTCAAAAGTTTTACAGTGTGTGAAAAAGTATACATTTTATACATGTTCTGTGTAATTTTAAAAGGAAATAGATACACTGTGTGTTTATGATTAGTTTATCATCCATTTAAACTCAATATCACACAACTTTTAGAACAGGTTTCAGTTCACCAGGTGGCTGAAGGATGAAACTTTCATTAAAAAAATAATAAATAAATAAAGTAAAAGGTTAAAAAACAACTTTTCATCAAAGCCACACTTCCTTGAATGATGCACCATATCAGGCACAATCAGTCTGACCTCATACATCTGAAAAAAGCTCATCACTGTCTGAAATGTCTTTCCTATCAGACCTTTAAACTTCTTTGTTTCTTGATCTTAAAATAACAACACAGTTCCATGAAGACTTCACTTCACCTTATCAGACACCATCAGTGTGAACTCCTGCGTCTGTTTAGCAGGTGTGAAAGATTATAATCACCCAGTTCTCTCACAATCAAACATACACACAATACAATACATCTACCAGGTGAGAAACCATATAAAAAACAGAATAAAGGTTTAAAGGAGCTTCTTCATTTAGAGGCCCTCCTCTCATCACAGATTGATTTCAGATAACACTTTATTTGAATAGTACAGTTTAGTTTCTTTGTAGGTACCTTTGACTCACATTAAACAAAATGTCCATTAAATTCACCATTTTTTACTAACTCTACACTTAAACCCAACCCTAAAACAGTAGAGTTTCACCAGATATGTGAAAAAAAGAAAAATCATGCATCTCTATTTTGTAGTTTTCTACATCATTTGAATATGACAGCTGCCCTTTACATTCTGTAAAATTCCATAATGAATAGACCAATAGAAATGCTCAAAAACATGGAATAAAATCTCTAAATTCTCTAAAATCTCATATGCTCATATATTTGTTGGCTTGCTAAAAAGTGCAGCTGTGCTGTGTCATGTTGATTTTACTAAAACAGGTGCAACAACAATAAGACACTGCATTAAAGAAATAAACAGGTTGAAACTACCATAAAAGTTCAGATGTTCTTGGTTTCCTGTGCTTAATAATTTGGCTCTGCAGTTTGTGAAACATCTGTGATGATGAGACTTAACAGTAAATTATCCATTATATTACATGATGTAATATTAAGATGTCATTTTATATTAATACTTTATAAAATTTCAATGAAAGTGTTAAGTTTGCCATTTGCAAATGGCAATTATCATGTATGTTATCAAGGGTTCTTTGTGGAATATCCAAACATGTTATGTCAGGAAACATGTAGACATAATCATAATAATAAAATAAATAAATAAAATAAAACAATTGAGATTGATAACACTTAGTGTACTCTGTAACCAGCTCTGTTCTTCTGTATATACTAAAAATACCATTTTAATGAATTTTAAGTTGCAGGAAGTGTAATTTTTGTGTTTAATAACTGAGCAGTGCTGGAAAAGAACAAATTACGGGAAAATTCTCATCAAAATCTGAAATAACTTTTCTGTCAAACCTTTAGACGGCCTTAAAAATACAACACACTTCTATTATCAGACACCATCAGCAAAAACTGAAATACTTTAATGACCACACTCACTCTAAAAATGTCCTCACAAACTCCTTTAGAGAACTGAAACTTCATACTAAACTGCACATTTTTCACCCAGTTTTAAGCAAAGTGGGGACCTAAACAAAGCACAGCACTTCACTGTAGATCCTGGCAAATATCATCAAAAACAACAAACACCCACACAGTCCAAAATCAAGAGAAATAATAACATAAAGCTCACTAAACTAACCTGGAGATCATGTGCAGCTCTGAATATCCCAGTAAAATAAAAACATCCCCAAAATTCACTACTGCTCACTAAAGGAAAGAGATCTAGCGATAAGAACGATGAGCTTTAGCATTAGAGCTTCTCACTTGAGAGTACACAATGTCTTCAGGCTGTTCTCTCTTCACCCGTCCAGTTTTGGGTTTGCTCTCTTTGAAATGGATGGGAGCATAATTCAGACTCTCAGCAGTCTGTGAGAAAGAACACGAAAGGTTCAGTAAGTTCTGTGTGGATTAAACAGTATCAGCATCTTCTGAAAGTGTTACAGAACACAGGTGTTACCTGACTGGTTGTGTTCTCTGCTGCTGATCCTTGTTGTTTTCTCACTGTGGTGGAAAAAGCATATACAGGATCATGATTGGATCAGGCAACATTTTTTTCCAAGAACATTTTTACAATTTTTACCACATTTTCATTTACAGGTAGTGGCACAAACCCAGTTGATGCCTAAAACAAAATGTATAGTGTATGAAGTATTTCTACATTAAATAAAGCATATTCCGTCAATCTCTTTCAAGTTCCATAGTAACTATAAGGTTTTGCTTAAGACATTTAAAACACATATCAGCTGATCTCCTGATCCGTTACAGCTCATCCAGATCACTTTACTCAGCTGAGGCAAACTCACTGTCTAGGATCTCTTACAACTCAGTGGGTTGAGGATCTTTTTCTTATGGTCAGAATCTTTTTATATGAGTAATGCAAGCTCCAAGATCCAAATTAAAATTGTAAAAATCCTCCACTCACCACCGCAGTGGTCACTGTTTCTCCTTTTATAGATTATAAAGGCTTGAGCAGAGATCACAACCACACACACTCCCAAAGCTGCTCCCAGACAGATCACCACAAGATCCACAGGCTCCTCTGAGAGAGATAAATAAACAAACTAACAAATAAATAAATACTATATATTTGTGCCATAAAAAAATCTAGCCAAAAGATTATTTTGGAGTAGTTGTATTTTATTCAAGTGTTACTTACATTGAATTTGAATTGAAGTCTTAATTGAATTACTATATTATTATATTAAATTAATTATTATATTAAATGGATATATTCAATTATGTGGATATAATTCTTTGATAATTCTATGTGTACATTTCTTTGTAATTAATAAAACATCCAACCAAATTCATAAAATTTCTAAATCAAACTGACCAGAACTCTAATTTTGTCTTTGTGTGTGCAAGAACCAGTACTGCCCATTAGTCACCACACCACTGACCACCACCTTACACACCCTGAACAAAAACTTTTAATCTAATTAAACATAGTTTGTACTTTTATATGCCTGAATATGTTTTGATATGTATGGTTTCTCAGTTCTTGTTTCACCTCTGAGCACTACATTAGCATGGAATGTAAAGTATAAATAATGGAATAATATAAATATGAGTGATGCTCAAATAAAGTACAGAACTCTGCAAAAGGCGTCAAAGGTATTTGTAATTTTATCTGAACAGTAAGTGCTTTTGCCAGTAAGAATTTGATATCAAATTAGAATTATAACAAATATAAACATTAACACAATAAAAGTCTCTAATTACTCTATTAGTATTGTTTGTACTAATCCTAAAATCATTGTTTTTTGAGCAAATGAACACTTACTGCCCAGATAAACTTATTTTTAAGATCTCTTAACAATTTTTAAGGCTTCTTAACAATTAATTAACTATAAGCAACCAATTAATAATACCTAGTCAGTAGAAATATATTTGTAACCATGCTTAGAAATGTGTTATAACAGTTATTTGTGTTAATGTAGTGTTTAATAAATGAATAATTAACTGTTGACAAATGAGCAAAATATAATTTAATTGTGATCTTTCAGTTACAAACATACTTGAAATATCAATATCCTTCTTTATCAAGGCCAGTGGTTATTATAATTATATTCCTCTTGTTTTAGATCTTGCAAATTCAATAATTAAAACCATTTAAATGTATGTTATAATTTGCACACTATCTTTATGTAATTCACAAACTTTCATAAACTCCTCCTTTAACCACCATACAGAATATACATGTGGATTTAGGCCATTTCTACTCAACAAGCTTATATAAACAATTTTATTTGATATTAAAAGCTGATGAATGCCTTCTTTAGCAGATTTGACTGTTCAATTCTGTTACATAAAGCATTTCCTTTTAATGTTCAAATACAATCATCTACTAATCACTGTAAAAGTAGTCATCAGTTGTTTGTGACATGAAAATAAATGTCACTATTTACTACAGCATTTGTTCATTGAATTCAGATAAATTTTACGTGTTTATGTTGTTTAATTAAGGCGTCACAAAGACATTACAAATAGGCTTATAATTGAAGTATTACAAACAATTAGTGTTTAATTCCATAGTCAACAAACAGTTAATAACTAAGTAATACTTCTTTCTGAGTGGTACTTTGTAGTTGATTAATAAACTCTTAACAGATTATCAGTAACACATCAACAACGTATCGGTGAAGTAGCAGTAGTGAAGCATCTGAATACACTAAAGTAAATATCTTGTAGATGTTCTGTTGATGCATTACTTACATTAAGTAGATGTATTGTTAATATGTTACTTCTATTACGCAAAACCTAACCTTACCCACAACCTAACCCTCACCCTGGCCCTAATCCTAACCTTAACCTCAATCCAAAACCTAATCCTAGCCCTCACCCTGCCCTAATCCTAACCTTAACCTCAACCCAAAACCTAATCCTAGCCCTCACCCTGCCCTAATCCTAACCTTAACCTCAACCCAAAACCTAATCCTAACCCTCACTCTGGCCCCAATCCTAACCCTAACCTTAACCCTTACCCAAAACCTAATCCTAGCCCTCACCCTGCCCTAATCCTAACTTATATTTTATTATAAGCAAATTTTATCCACACGGTTAATTAAATCTGTTGATAATCTGCAGAATGTATTCACTGCTGCTACATCACTGATATATTGTTAATAGTGTTACTAAGAGAATGTTGAGTGTTTACTTCATCTAAAAGAGGAGCATTCAAAATAAATTATTATTAATAACTACTTCACGGAAGACCTTATGTGTTATGAATACATTTAAACAACAGTTCTAAGGCACTAAGGCATCATTAATTACTTGTCAGTACTTTAGCTGTTTTTAACGTAATTTTCTCAGGTTCTTAAAGATTGTTAAATGATGCCATAATTTATTCAGTCGTTATAGCTGAAGAATACTGTCAGTTATTCTATGTCAATCACACAAATGATCAATGACCAATAACTTTAAACTTCTTAAATATTGCTTACTCAGCTCTACTGCTGTTCCATTCCCAACAACGATCTTCCCACAAGCAGCCACAGCGCAGTAGTAAGTTCCAGTGTGGTGCTGGTTGAGGATGTTCTTAGATAACTTGTACAGAGAGCAGCTTGAAGAAGAGCTGATCTCACACTGACGGCTGCTGCTGTTCTGATGAGTGTAAATGATTTCAGGAAAGGATTGTCCTGCAGCAGCTCTGAGCCAGAGCACTCGGAGATCTTCTGCTTCAGTGTCAGAGAGGACCGTGCACTGCAGAGTCACTGACTGTCCTGGAGAAACTGTACCTGATACTGGAGTTTGGACCACCGACAAGTTTAACTGAAGATGATCTGTTCAATTTAATAAAGACATCTTGTTTACAGCTGCACTGTCTCATGATTAAACATGATAATGATATTAATAATTTATTATGTAAGACATTAACCAAAAAGCTCATTCTAAATGCAATATATACAATCTAATATGATGCTAACTTTGTAAAACTAAATTGTGAAAAGTTTTGAATGAGTTAATATGTTAAAACTGTAATGTGATTACCTGTCACAGCTAAGACTATGAGATTAGAAAATGTAAATATTTTTCCATCACTTTGTCCACAGAAGTACATTCCTTCATCATCTTTGGAGACTGCCTTAACAGTCAGAGAAAAATCTTCATTTACACTGAATCTTGAATTATTTAAAATGGGAGATCTGTTGTCTAACTTTGATACAACTTTTTTAGGTTTCTGCCACAGTTGTTGTTTGTACCAAACCTTAACGTTTCTATCAGACTTTTCAACTTCGCAAGACAGAGTAGCACTTTCTCCAGCCTTAACTGAGACAAACGATCTCTCATTAAGATCCACAGCTTCAACAAGACCTATAAAATGACATGAAATCAATTATAAGCAATAAGCAAAACAATGGGTGACATTTCAGCAACAGAAGTTATATAAGAATCTAATTGCATTTTAATATCTGACACTTTTGAAAAGAATTCATAACTTACATATTATGCAGAGAGATAAAATGACAATCCGCAGTGGAGCCATCATCATCATCATAAGCTGCTTTGCTTATTTGAAGTAACTTAGAAAGGAACCTTCTGACCAAAGCAGCAAACTGCATTAGCATGCTGAGCTCAAGAGATGAATCTCTTTCGCTGGCGAATGTCACAAGGCCCTCCTCCCCTTCTGGCTTCCTTGTTTAGAATGATTCAAGTCTAATTATAAGAAACAGTCCACTCCATAATTATTAGTACCTTTGGTTAAGTTGGAGATCACCTCTTGTAGTTTTGAAGACTTAATGACCCCAAAATGCTACCATCTTCTGCAAAGGTGAAAACATGAACTCTGGAGAAATTTTAGCCTTGCTAAACGTCCTCCTCAATGTGTATGGCATTTGACAGCTGTTTCACCTCATATTTATACCCCCGTGGAAAAGAACATTTCCATACCCAAATGAAACTGTCACAGGATGGCTGGGGAGGGGTGGTTAGACCCAAATGCAGAGACCTTTTGGATAATAAGGAATATTTGTGTGTGAATGTTAGTGAGACTGGTTTTCACGATCACACCTGGGTGGAATTTGAACTGGGAATGTACTGATCTGCAAGTTACCACTGCACCACAGGGCCCAGTCTGAGGGCTGTATAGCAGCTTACAGGATGAATTGTGGGAAAAATGTGGGAAAATTGTAACAAAACGAGTGTCAGAGCAGCGAGCTCAAACAAAGAAGATAGTCCCACACAAAGGAAACAAATAAAGGAACACAAAACTCTTTTTCTTTTGTTTCCTTAGGAGCTACTTTGTGTTTTATTTTCTTATGATTCTCTTTTCTTTGTTTAAAGCAAAAATTTTCTTTTCTTTTCTTTTCTTTTCTTTTCTTTTTTCTTTTCTTTTCTACCAGTTACCCCTCTACAAAGGTGTGACACTGAGTGTCATTTGTCACTCTCTTTAATACAGCCCTCAGCAGGTGAGCCTAGTTGGCCTGATGAACCCAGGGAAGTCTGGGAATTGGAGTTCCCATGGCCACTTGCTCTATTCCTCTCAGAAAGCTGCCTCCGCCCTCTGCTGGCTGTTGGTGGCATGGAGCACTAACTTACAGAAACAGGAAGACCCGCCTATTTTTCACTAGAAAGCTTGACCCAAAACAGACCCAGCCAGGACCAAGAATATAATGAAAGGGAACATTTCACATGTTGTTCATTTTCTACAATAATAATAATAATAATAATAATAATAATAATACATTCAGATCAATTATTACTAATAATAAAAGCAATATTGACCTAGCAACTAGTCTTAATTCAACTCCACATTCTAAATTTTTTGGAGGCAAATGAAAATGATATAAAGATATTTCTGTGGTCTTTCAGGATCTTACGGAGCCCTGGAGGGGACGGAGGTAAAAAAATATATATATAATTCGAGCGAACGTTTTGTAGTTCGTACGCACATTTTCTCTTATTTGTGGTCACGATTTCTTAAATCGCTCCGTCGTTTTCTTTTAATCGTGCGCACGTTTTCTTTACTTCGTGGGTTCATTTTTTTTATTCATGATCACGATTTTCTAGTTCGTTCTCTCGTTTTCTCTTAACCGTGGTCATGTTTTATTTTTAACTGAACGCCCGTTGTTTGTGTTTTGATAACAGCTCCATGAGACTGTCTGGCGGGTTTTGATGAGTTAGATTGATGAGATAATGGACAGAGGTGCTCATCAGGTCTGATTTTGATTTGGGGGTTATGAGGAAACTGCAGCTCCTCTTCACAGCGAACGTCCCACGGTGTTTCTGCTCCCAGTCAAGATGCGGTGTTAGAGACCATCATACAATTACAGGACGAAATGATCAGCGTTTCAACATCCTCACATTAATATATCTACATCTAATCCATAGATCTATTAAACTCTCTCGCCATTTGACCTCATTCCACATGAACGTTTCTGTGTGTGTTTAATTTGAGTTTGTTGAAACGTTGACGCTGATCATTTCTTCCTGTAATTGTGTGATGATCTCTAACACCGCAGCTTGTCGCGGGAGCAGAAACAGCGCTAAGCGACCGCGCTGCGTCTCTATCTCTGTTAAATATGATCATTAGACAGTGCAGTTTAGTGAAGATTGTGGTTGTAGTTTATTGTCTTCCTTCATTTGACCACCAAACTGCAGCTGCACTGATGAATCTGAGGGCCGTTTGTTGTGAAGCGGAGCTGCAGTTTCCTCATAACCCCCCAAATCAAAATCAGACCTGATGAGCATCTCTGTTCATTATCTCATCAATCTAACTCATCAAAACCCGTCAGACGGTCTCTTGGAGCTGTTATTTACTTCTGCACCAGGCAAAAAGCACGACCTGTATCTACAACACTGATTTTGCGCACGAATCAAAAAAATAAGCAACGTGCGTTCAGTTAAAAATAAAACATGACAACATTTAAATGAAAACGAGAGAACGAATTAGAAAATCGTGATCACGAATAAACAAAAACGTACCCACGAAGTAAAGAAAACGTGCGCACGTTTAAAAGAAAACGAGGGAACGATTTAAGAAATCGTGACCACGAATAAAGGAAAACGTGTGTACGAACTGCAAAATGTTCGCTCGAATTAATTATTATTTTTTACCTCCATCCCCTCCGGGGCTCCGTAGGATCTTAATGTTACGTGGAAAGAAGAATGTTTAATTCAAAAAACCTCATTTCCACTGTTAGGCCGAAAAACACACACACATCAAATCCGAAGGCAAAATATTACTTAACCACAAACTTAACTTTAATCTTTAATATTGTTTTCCAGATCTCATGGAGTCAATAGCTTTAATAATGTACATGTAAATATATTTGAATGGTACAGCTGTTGACAGTGTTTCAAATTACAGTTATTTGGGAATTTATATAGGATCTTTTAGGACACACACTGATGAGTAAATCAATTAAAACTTAGAATTAGGCTGGGATTGTTATATAGAAATAGAATATTTTTTTTTTCTTCTGAAAGTAGAACGAAAGTTGTTCAAGCAATCATTTTTATTGTACTGGGTTATGGTGATGTAATCTATATAAGTGCAGCTCCTTCATTGCTGAAGCCATTAGACATGATCTAATACAGTGCACTTTATGTTATAACTGATGACAGACTTAAAATAATCATTGTGAGCTCTACTGCAAAGCTGGTTTATCATATTTTGATATAAGCAGGAAATTCCACTTACAGGTTTACAACCCCATTTCCAAAAAAAGTTGGGATGCTGTGCAAAAGGTAAATAAAAACAAAATGCAATGATGTGCAGATCATTTAAACCCTATATTTATTTGTAAATAGTACAAAGACAACATATCAAATGCTAAAAGTGAGAAAATGTATTGTTTTTTTTTAATAAAAATATATGCCCATTTTGAATTTGATGGCAGAAACACAAACAAAAAAGTTGGGACAGTGGCACGTTTACCACTGTGTGTCATCGCCTCTTCTTTTAAAAGCACTCTGTAGTCAGTGTTTAGGAGCTGAGGAGACCATTTGCTGCAGTTTTGAAAGTGAAATATTTTCTCATTCTTGTTTGATATAGAATTTCATCTGCTCAACATTTCAGGGTCTCTTTGGTCGTTTTTCTCATTTCATGAAGTGCCATATGTTTTCAGTGGGTGACAGGTCTGATCTGCAAGCAGGTCAGTTTAGCATCCAAGCTTATTTACTATGGAGCCATGCTGCTGTAATATATGCAGAATGTGGTTTTACATTGTGTAGCTGAAATAAACAAGGCCTCTTCTGAAAAAGATGACATCTGAATGGCAACATATGTTGCCAAAACCTTTATGTATCATTCAGCATTAATGATGCCTTTACAGGTGTGCACGTTACCCATGCCATGGGCACTAATGCACCCCCATACCATCATGAATACTGGCTTTTGAACTGTGTGCTGATAACAAGCTGGATGGTCTTTAGCCAACAGGATCCAGTGTCTATGATTTCTTAAAAGAATTTTAGATTTTAGAACACTTTTCCACTTTGGCTCAGTTCATTTTAAATGAGCTCAGGCCCAGAGAAGACAGCAGCGTTTCTGGATCCTGTTCATATATGGTTTCTTCTTTGAATGGTAGAGTTGTAACTTGCATTTATGGATGCAGTGATGAACTGTGTTCACAGACAGTGGTTTTCAGAAGTGTTCCTGAGCCCATGCAGTGATTTCCTCTACAGAATCATGCCTGTTTTAAATGCAGTGCCATCTGAGGGCCCAAAGATCTTGGCTAGCCAATATTAGTTTTTGGCCTTGTCCTTTTCATACAGAGATTTCTTCCGATTGTCTAAACCTTTTAATGATATTATGTACTGTAGTCTCCAAGTTCTTTGCTATTTTACATTGATAAATGTTATTCTTGAATTGTTGCACTATTTGCTACACAATCTTTCACAGAGTGGACAAGCCCTCCCCATTTTACCTTCTGAAAGACTCAGCCTCTCTGAGATGTTCTTTTTCTACCCAGTGATCTTACTGACCTGTGGCCAATTAACCTTGAGGTGTTTTGTTTTTTTTTTGCATTCCACAACTTTACCATTCTTTTCTTGCCCCCGTCCCAGCTTTTGTCTTTGTAATATTTTCAAATATATATAGGGTTAGAAGGTTTGCACATCATTGGAT